ACTGTTAGCCCAGAAAATGCAGGAATGTTTTAATGAACTCTTGAAATCAAAGGATGCTGTTTTGAAATGCTAATTAAACCTTGCTAATTAGGGTAATTATATTTTAAATTTATAAAACATAATTCAAGTTTTATATTATTTAAAAATAAAATAAAGTTTACAAAACTCATTAATAGTTACAAGTTAATCAACAACAAAACATTTAATTTAGGAAAAGGAAAATATAGATAAATCAATTAATAATTATATAATCGTAAACAGTCTATTAAGCTGTATCTCAACAGCATTAATTAGCATTAGCATTTAATTAGCAAGGTTTAATTAGCATTTCAAAACAGCATCCTTTGATTTCAAGAGTTCATTAAAACATTCCTGCATTTTCTTGCTATCTTTCTCATCAGGATCTTTCATACCTTTGATGACTGGAGCAAGCTCAACCGCACAATTGTCAAACCCTTTAGACTTGTTTTTATCAGCAACCTCATACATGCCCTTCCCATTAGCTGTTTGGCTAAAACAAGGTTTGAAGTTTGCCACCGCTTTAGCACCAGTAGCATCCTTGCAATCGGCTAGAAACATTTTCAATAAAATAAAATTTAAACCTTATAATCTAAATGAAAGTAAGGACATACCACAAAATAATGATACAATTGAAGTATTATTAGTGAGATCCCAACATGGAGCAAGGCATTTAATTTGAGGGATTAGGCAACCCGCGAAAACAATCAAGGCTAATTTTGCATACATATTTAGGCAATTAATTTAAAATAGGAATAATATTTAGATTTAAATTTATTTTCCCAAATATTAGATATAATTTTTTTGAATGAATTGCTTAATATTTATAGTTAGAAATGTCACTGAATAAATATATGTCATAATTATTTGAAATATTTTAATTATACTGAATTTTACTAAATTATCCAATATTTTTGAAATCAATTTATTTATCCAGCATAATCAGATTTTTACGCATTTGTTTGGAAATCTAAAATAAATTTCAATTGAAAGATTTCTATCAATGTAATGATGTAACATACTATATAAACACATTAATTGCATAATACCAGATACTCTGTAAATAATTTTTAAATAAAAAATAAATAAAAACAAAAAATCAAATGATAAATTAGACTATTTATTCATTAATACAAGAATATTCTCGAAGAATACGCTTTTTAAGGACTTTATAACAATTAAGTCGTGTCTGGGCTTTTGGCTGTAAATATAAAAATACACAAATTATATACTTTATATTGGTATAAGTATAACTCATATAATAAGTTATTTTAATTTTAAAAATTCATAAATACCATTAAGTCTGTCTTTTTGGTATCAATTGTAACCCAAATGCAAAACAGTATATCTCTCATGAATGCCATTAAAGTAAAAATTTTCGCCTCTTTTATAATGTTTTTGTGTGAATTGATTTCACATTTCATATAATAATTGCCATTAATTTTACTCATCTCTTGAATGTAAGCGTCAATAAAAGGATACATTTGTGTGTCAGTGGGGAAGTCACCCGAACCAAAGTCCAGTTCCCTTTGACCCCAACTACAGAAATAAGTGCCAAAATCTGCGCCCCTGTAGCTATAGTTAGTCCAATCAAAGTCTATGAGGTATATATCCATATTCTGGTCATTAGGCGATTCATGTATCAGAATATTCCGACGGTTAAAGTCATTATGAGAGAAAACAACAGGACTCATGAGCTCATGGATAGTCCTCTCGAGCCATTCATTTTCATTGATTAAATCCACTTCAAAAAATGTCCTCAAATTATATTCACGGATCTGTTGGACAATCACTGGATCTTCGAGTGATTGTTTCATTTTAAGACTTGTATTCATATTAAATATTTCGCGAAACGTGTTAAACATATCAATGTTTTGTCGGTTAACAGGCGGTCGTAATGAATGAAATTTTGCCATTTTCTGGGCTAATAGTGCAACTAATTGAGGGTTAGTGTCATCTTTATAATCAAAATATCGGCACTAAATTGAATATATTTTTTATGATTTAAAATAAAATACTGTAATAATAATTGTATACATTTATGTGTTCACTGATAGTGCCGTTGGGAAATACAGCCAAAAGTTTGGGACAAATATTATTTAGCGACAAAATCACGTTAATTGCGATGACATGTGTTTGCGTGTAATAGGCTTTGAATCGGTCGTAGTCCGCATACCTGACCACAACTTTACAGTATTTTGACTCATTAATTGGTGGTAAACCACATAAATATATCTGATTTATGAATCCATCGCTAAATT